GATAATGACTGGGATGTAATTAAGATTGGACAACAGGCAAATATGACAATTATCAATTCCTAGAATGATATGATAATGATTGGGATGTAATTAAAATTGGACAACAAGTAAATATGACAATTATCAATTCCTAGAATGATAGCATAAGAATTTGAATAGGGAGGAAAAATGAAACTCGATTGAAAATTAATCGAGGTAGGATAGTGATAATAGATATTATCATTATCGTTACTAATAGCTGTTGTATCATTAGAATATTTTTATCAAATGATTATTAATTGGGAAATTTAAAAAATTTTCTTTCATTTAAATTAAAAATATCATATATATTGATAAAAACAAGCACAAACATGCATAAATGCATGCAAACATCTGTATGCATGTGTTTGCATGCATGTATATGCATAAATGCATGCAAACATCTGTATGCATGTGTTTGCATGCATGTATAAATGTTGCATATATTTATTTTTTTTAACTTAAAAATATTTAAATTATGAAAATTGTAAGCAATATGAATATAGGTGTAATTTTATATGATAATGAATGTAAAGATTTAATTTTTATAGTTCTTTATCCGATTATCCGATGGTAGCTACTGCAGTAGCTGCTGCAGCATATGGTAAATTGGGTAGTTACCAGCAGCAGCAGCAGCAGCAACAACAACAACAACAACAACAACAACAACAACAACAACAATACAATACTACTACTACTACTACTACCCGAGTGCAACCTCAGGTGCATGCAAAACGTAGTTCAAGTCATAGTGGTAGTAGTACTTCAAATGCATTACGATTACAACAACGTCGTATGATAGAACGAGAAAATATCGATCAGTTACTTCAAAAATGTCGTACAAATTATCGTGGTACCGCTTGTGGTATACAGGTAACCTTCTTAATCTTTCCTCTCTTTTTTTTTTTTTTCCAAATAAATCAATGATAAATTTTTTTTAATGAAAAATAAAATTGTATTTTCCAAATAATATTTGGACAAAAAAAAAAAATAAAAAATTTACCAAAGTTATAAGGAATTTTTAACTATTTGATATTTTTTTTAACG